AGAGAGAGAGAGAGAGAGAGAGAGAGAGAGAGAGAGAGAGAGAGAGAGAGACACAGACACAGACAGCTGATGGATTTGGTTACATTCCTGCGGCGGAGCATTCGAGCAATCGCTGCAAAAACGCGCGCGTAAAAACGTGGGCGCAATCTTATCTGGGTGGTTCCTCCAAGGATGGGAAGCAGCAGCAGTAGCAGCAGTAGGAACAGCAGCAGCAGCAGCAGTAGTAGAAACAGCAGCAGCAGCATTAGCAGTAGCAGCTATATAGTAGTAGAAACAGCAACAGCAACAGCAACAGCAGCCACATCAACAACAGCAGCAGCAACAGTAACAACAACAACAACAACAGCAGCAGCAGCAGCAGATAGTCATAAGCCGGCGCGTTATCGAGTGTTTACAGGTGTAGTGTGAGTGCAGTGTTGGCAGAGTGCCAGGTGATGCTGACGTCATGCTCGTATGTAATTAACAGGCTTGCCTGTAATTAACGCCCTAGCAGGGAGGCAGTGAGTAGCCAGCAGTGCTATTGTTTACCTGCAGGCTATGCTGCTACCTGCTCCGTGTAACCTTGATACGAACATCTGAATATCACAGCAGTTGATTTGTATAGATATGCTTGGAGAGATAGTGCCTCCCCCCCCTCTCATGCGCGATCTCTTTCTTCCTCTCTGTCTATCTATCTCTCGCTCTATCTATCTATCACACACACACTCTCTCCCTCCCCTCCTCCCCCCTCTCTCTATTTATCTCACAGTCTCACACACACACACACATTCCCTCCCCTCCTCCCCTCTCCTCTCTCTCTCTCTCTCTCTATCTATCTATCTATCTATCTCTCTCTCCCCTTCTGCCCTCTCTCTTTCGCGCGTGCTCTCTTTCTCTCTCTTCCTCTCTCTCGCTCTCCTCTCCCCCTCTCTCTCTCACTCTCCTCTCCCTCTCTCCCTCTCTCCCTCTCTCCCTCTCCCCCTCTCTCTCTCGCTTTCCTCTCCCTCTCCCCCTCTCTCTCTCTCACTCTCACTCACTCACGCAGACAGCTCACTCATGGCACGCACCCTATCTTCTATGCTACAGGCACGAGAGTGTACAGCCCTCCCGAATGGATCAAGTACAATCGCTACTACGCGAAGAGCGCCACCGTGTGGTCGATGGGCATACTGCTGTACGACATGGTGTGCGGCGACATCCCGTTCGAAGAGGACGAGAAGATCCTGAGAGGAGAGGTCGTCTTCCGCGGCCATCCCTCCGCAGGTTAGTACACGCGTGGTGGCTTCACGCTTCACGAGAGGAGGTTGCGGGGGAGAGGGGGAGGAGGGTGCGTGGGTTGCGGGGAGAGGGGGAGGAGGGTGCGTGGGTTGCGGGGAAGAAGGGAGGAGGGTGCGGGAGAGAGGGGGAGGAGGGAGGAGGGTCGCACGGACCTGGGGACAGATTTGCTCTCGCTCACTCCGACTCACTCTCTTCCCCTATGTATTTCTTTTTCTCTCTCTCTCACACACACACACACACACACACACACACACACACACACACACACACACACA